CCTTTGTCTAACGTACTGGTTACCTCCTCAAAGAATTATAACAGATTTGTAAGGCATAACCTCCCCTTGACGAAGCCATGCTAATTCCACCCTCTTTTATCATGTACTTGCAGGTACTCCGCAAACTTGTTCTTAATAATGGATTTTAAAATCTTACCAATGACAGAGGTCAGACTAACCAGGGTATAGTTTCTTGTCTTCTGCCACATTCCCTTCTTAAACAGGGCTGTTACATTAGCCAGTGATTGATTTGAGAACTTTTGGGGCATATTTGACTACCATCCCTATGTATTTTGAGTGCTGCTCCAAGAGTCCTATTTCAAAATGGTAAAGTCCTTTTCTGTCGCTTTGAAACTTAATGCCTCAGGGGTAATTTCCTGGGACAGCTATGACTGGCTCTCCACTCTATCTGTCCTCTTTTCACTGGCTGTGCCCTGTACAGTGTGTATATCCATTATACCCCTTATTATACCTCTCCTCACACATCAACTGCTGTTAACTAGCTCATCATGACCTCTTCAGGTGCCTAAATGGCTTTAATTGGCTATCAGGTGGGGTTACAATCCTATCTTCCACCCTCCTTGGTGAACATTGCTGGAACTGGGAATAGCGTGATAAACTGGCTTTGGTATTCATCCTGAAGACTTTCCTGACCAACTTCCAGCTGCAGTATACCCTGACTACATCACAGGAGTTTGTGGATTTAATTCTCACTTCTGAATTTAAGGACATTATCCAGGTCGACACCCCAAAGGCAATATTAAGGGAGTCATAAAATCGTAGAATCCCTACAATGTAGAAACAGGTCATTCGGCTAACAAATCCACACTGCCCCTCCGAAGAGCATCCCACCCAGACCCATTCCCCTACCCGTGTATTTCCCATGTCTAACCCACCTAACCTAAACTTCCCTGGACACTATGGGAAATTTAGCATAGCCAATCCACCTACCCTGCACATCTAAGGTTTTGGAGTAGATTTGTAGCTCGGGTTGTGGATGGTTGGCTGGCCGAGCTGGTTTGTTGTTGTTCCGCAGACATTTCATTACCCTGCTGGGTAACATCATCAGTGCAGCCTCCGATGAAGTGTGGTTGTGTTTTCTCACCTGGGAAATCTTTGGACTGTGGGAGGAAACCAGAGCACCCGGAGGGAACCCACGCAGACACGGGCAGAATGTGCAAACTCCACCGACAGTTTTCTGAGGTTGGAATTGAACCTGGGTCCCCAGTGCTGTGAGGCAGCAGTGCTAACCACTGAGCCACCTTGCCACCCCTGCTTGGAAGTACAGTAATAGTACTTAGACCAATGGAAAATGTAACAGATTCGAATGCAGTACTTCTGTGCAAAGATTCAAACTCATCTATATGCTCATGTCTTTTGATGAGATGGGGAGAACATTTATCCAATGTCGAACCTACCTTTAAAGTTAAATTTACACAGGGATTCCTAAACATTACATACTGTCATTCTCAGAAGTTGAAAAGCGAGCCACCACCGTTTACCATGGTGAAGAGGTATTGTGTATTATCTATATCCTATCTAATTTGGTCAGATTTTGATCTGGAAACTAAACTGTAAATGAAATAAACTTAATGAATACAAATTGTTAACAAACACAAATCTGCTGTTGGATTTTTAACTTGCCATACAGGCTTAAAAGTGTTGCACATGTTTCTCAACTTTGCACCTGGGAACTGAGTGTTCCTTGGATGCTCAAAAAGGAATACCAAAGCTGTAAAAATTTATGGATAATAAATGTTTCTTCAGGTCACTACTTTCAACAGTTCCATCATGTCCCATTATTATTAACTCTAGTTCCACCACAGCTACGCCCCAAGTTGATCTTGAGAACAATGCCAGACCTTGACTCCAGTCATGGCAGTTTTGTAGTTTCAAATGCAGAGAAGTGCATAGCATAGAAAATGAGGATAGTGCAGACTGCAAAGTCAGTGATAGTGGCCGTACATCATCTTGTAAGTAGAACACGGGATTTAAGTAAAAAAGATTTTTCTTTCACATGAATAGCTGAGCAAATGGCAAAGAGGGATACATGACAGCATAATAGTGGCAAAAATCCTTTATGTTGTCCAGTTTTCAGATTCTATAGAGCCTTAGCACTGTAACCTTTTAAATATGTTTGCATGTAACTGTTAAAATGCTGCTCTAGATTCTATCTTGCCCTATTTGTCTTCACTCAAATTACAGGAAATACTTGCATTTTGAATATCCTGGCTACATACAAATAACATTATGTAGTCTGACTGTTTCCTTACACTGTCAGTTCTGACAGCATTTTAATCTTGCAGTTTTATAAGACTTAGAATGTCAATGAATATTGTTAGTATTGGAGCATGTTTGAGTAAGTTTGAATAAAATATATGCATGACAAATGTACAGAAACACTTTGTACTGCTTAATAACCTGCCTCAGAGCAGTTAAAAGTTATATAAAATTTCATATTTATTTGTTCCATTTCAGTGTACATATGCACTATTGACCAGCAGGAGAAGTGCTCTGAATTATCTTGGCCAGCAAACATGGAGCATGTGAGAGATAATATGTGAGGGGCAGCAGCACCACTTGGTGTTGAGATACTGTTGAGTTGTATGGTGACAATTTCAATTTAAAAGCATTTCTGGATGTTTCAAAAACTCCGTGAAAATAATGGCAGCCGACAAAAACATGCTTATTTTTGTTTCATTCAGTTGCTTTCAAAAAGAAAAAACTTGTATCAGACAAGTTTTGGTGATTAACTTGAAACTTTAACTTTGTTTCACTCTAACAGAGGTTGCTTGATCTGCTGTGTATTTCTAATACTTTTCGTTTTTATCCCACATATGGTATGTCCATGTGGCAGAATTGGCCCTGATATTTATTCACAAGGAGGAAAGGAGAGTATGGGGTAGCACATGGAACACCAAATAATAACAGTGACAGCAGGAGCTCACTAAGTTTTCTTTTTTTTTGTTTGCAAATTGACTGAGGTCCAAAATAACCGGCTGACCAGTTGTTGGGTAGGAAAACAAACAGCAAGAGGCTACAACTGGGAAAGAAATGGGAGAGAAGAAGTAAGAAATTCAAGCTTGCTTTTAAGGTAGTGCAAGAAATGTTTACAGACTGATTCCTGGGATGATGGGACTGATGCACAGGGTGAAATAGGATCAGTTAGGACTATATTCACTAGAGTTTAGAAAAATAGGGGGGAGTCTCATAGAAACCTATAAAATTCTAAATGTAAGAATGTTGTGCTTGATAACTGGGCAGTCCAAAACTAGGGGTCACAGTCTAATGATAAGCTTAGGCCTTTTAGGACAGAGATAAAGAGATATTTCTTTTCTCAGAGAGTGGTTAGTCTGTGGAATTCTCTGCCACAGCTAGCAATTGAGACCAAAACATTGAATGTTTTCAAGAAGGAGATAGATATATTTCTTAGGGCTAAAGGGATCAGCGGATATGGGGAGAAAGCAGGAACAGGGTGCTGAGTTGGATGATCAGCCATGATCATATTGAATAGCAAAGCAGGCTTGAAGAGCCAAATAGCCTACTGCTGCTCCTATATTCTATGTTGCTGTGTCAGTAAACTGCATGATTTGCCAAATGACCATCCTTAGATGAAATGGGATCAGGACAGGTTGACCTGAGTCACTCTGTTGTACAATGTTTATTGTACTAGGTAATAGATACAAAAAGTTTAACCATAGCTAAGCCAAAGCTCTGTCTATTCTGATATATAGTATAGCCACTGAGTGGTGCATTTTGGAGTTCTGGTCATTTCAGTTAGCCACCTACAGTTAGATTCTGGCAGTCTCCTGATGCACACTCAAATGTCTTATCTACCTCTTGTTAGTAATAGTTAATACACCTAAGAGTTAGTAGACCCCAGTATATAGTTACAGAGATATAATAAATTACACATTGTTATCTAAAACAAAAGCCTCTTCTGCTGAGGCATATGCTCGGTCTATCCTCCATCACAGACCACTGAACAGCCCCTTACAATAATACAAGGAGGAGGATTGGTGATATTTTGAGGACTTGAGTATAGGAGTAAAGATGCCTTGTTGCAATTATATAGAGCAGTGGTAAATCCTCACCTCATGTATTATCTACAGTTTTGCTCCCTTATCTAAAGATGAATATGCTTGCCATAGAAGGAGTGCAATGGAGTTTTAACGGATCAGTCCTTGGGATGATGGGATTCTTTAGCAATGAGAAATTGTGGACACAGTGTCTGTATTCCCTAGATTCGTGAAGAATGAAGGGTAGCCTAATTAATACTTCAAAAATACATACATGGTGTGACATTGAATATGGATAAGATGCTTCTGTGACTGGTGAGTCTCACACCAGGGGACATAATTTCAGGATAAGAGGTAGGCTCTTTAAGACTAAGATGAGGAGGAATTTCTTCATGTAGAAACGATTAGAAAACCCAGACGGCTGTAGAAGCACATTGAGCATGCTGAAGACAGAAATTAATAGATTTATGGAGACTGAGGTCACTGAGGTACATATCGTAGAATATGAGTTCCCTGATTGGGGCTGTAAACCTGGTCCAATCAGAGAGTCCTGGCTGACAGATATAAACAGAAGTGCCAGAGATTCTGTTCACCCAAAGAGCTCTGAGCTGGCTGGGTCAGTATCATGTACTATGCACGTGTAAATAAAGGGTGATTTGGTGACAGGATACTGGCCTTCATGGAATTATTTCAAAGAGAAATGTAGATAGTACAGGAAAGTGCCATTAATGCAGATTATTAGACATTATCTAGTTGAATGGTGGAACAGGCTTTACATGTTGAATGGATTACTTTTGTTCCTCTGTTCCTGGTACTCTATCCCAATCATAAGCCACCAGTGGTTGGTACCCAAACATCACATATTATAGCACAGTCCCTTAATTTATACTGGACGTTTGTTAAATTAGCATTTGTATTTAGTGCATAAGAAATGAAATAGAGACCTGCTGTAATGAAATTACAAATGTATTTGGTTTTCAGAAATGTTTGGATTGCAAGAGAGTCTTAAGAAATCCACTCAAGAGGTAGAGTTCCTTCAACAGCAAGTAAGAGACCTACAGCTTTCTTCAGACACGATTACACTACAAATTGATCAAATCCATGCTTTGGAACAGAAAGAAGCTGAACTCCAAATCAAATGTTGTGAATCAGAGAAACAGGCATTTGGTAAGTGAGACTTTTGCTAAAGTACATTGGTTCATTGATATAAACTGTGACTGCCTTAAAATTCTGCATGCCTAAACCCAAGCCGTATGCTGAGGTCATAGTGACCAACAATCATTTTATGTACACAAAGAATTGCAACCAAATTTGCTATCCAAAAAAGTCAAAAAGGCATTAAAACTGTGGTATCTTCTCAATTGCTAGACCACTAATTAAAATACTGTAGAAATTCAGATTTTAAAATCTTACATATCTCAACTGATGGTTTATAAACATAACATATGTGTATATACTTGTTCATAACTTTTTTATTCATTCGTGGTATGTAAGCATTGCTGTCTGGGCTAGCATGTGTTTCCCATCCTTTACTGACTTTGAGCTGAGTGGTTTGCTGGGCCATTTCAAAGGGCAGTTAAGAGTTAACCACATCGCCGAGAGTCTGGGGTCGCACTTAAGAATAGCTGATTTCCTTCCCTGAAGGACATTAGAGAACCAGAAATTTTTTTTTCAACAATAGTTATATGGCCATAATTAGACTAACTGTTAATTCCATTTTTTCTTATTTTTAATTTAAATTTTACCTTCAGTTGGATGATGAAATTCCATCCATGGTTAGATTCGAACCCATGTCCCCAGAATATTAGGGACTCTGGATTATTAGTCTAGTGGCATTACCATAATGCCGCAGCCTCCCCTAAATATGGTTTGCAATCATGATCCCAGAGGATGAGAGTGTGTTAAAGGACAACACCACTGCTAGCTGGAGTATTGCAGTCCACATGTGTGAAAGGTGGGAGCGATGTGCCCGACTGAATGTGACCAAAAGAAAACCATCTGTTGTATTGATATTTATTTCAAGCCTGAAACAAATAACTGACTACAACAATTTATTGTATTAAATTCTAAACTAGTTGCAAGATCCAGAAACACATAGGAACAATTATAATCAGCTTGTGTATTTTTTTTACAAATTTTAGTTAAATGGTGAAATCCCACCTCTTGACACAGGTGCAGTGTGACATTCACAATTAATCAGTGTTCTTTTCATTGAAACCAAGAACTATTCTGCCAAATAAATTTCACAACTGACTATAATTGTTGCTGTGATGTCACAGATCTTATGTGTAGTTTAAAATTTAATATAAGGCTGGCATGATGTCACTGGTACAACTGCACATGCCCAGCTTGCTCTTGGAGGCCATTTTTGCAATGGGTACATTCACTCCGTTTTCCAAAATACATTCAAATAATGTGAAGTTGTAAGATCTATAATTTGTACTGTGTACAGATCTTGAAGTACTGAGGTAATGATCAAATTTTTGAAATAATTTAGTTCTCAGATGTGAGATAAGCCATTTGTTTGTGAAGTCTTATAGTGTTGGCAACTGTTTAAAGTGGGAAATGATTTTGCAAGTCTATCATTTTGGCTGGTATTGTGAAACAGATTTACTTCTAAGCCAATCATGGCAATAATAAAAAAAACTACCTAACACTGTACTAGTGCTTCTGGTCCTGGAACTAATTCTTTTGCTCTGTCTGCACAGCTGTTTGGCATTTAGGCTAAATAAGTGAAGCGATTGAAGCTACCTCGCTGAATGTTTTTAAGGCAAGGCTAGATAAATTTTTGAACAGTAAAGGAATTAAGGGTTATGGTGAGTGGGCGGGTAAGTGGAGCTGAGTCTCAAAAAGATTAGCCATGATCTTATTAAATGGTGGGGCAGGCTCGAGTGGCCAGATGGCCTACTCCTGCTCCTAGTTCTTATGTTCTTATGTCATATGCAAAATATTATTGAAATCCTCAGTCAGACCAGGGCAACTTGCCCTGCTACTAGGGTCCAGTTCAGAGTTTGCAAATAAAACTTTGATCGAGTACTGGTTTTCAGGTCAAGGCCAACATCATCCTAGTAACAAGTTTATATGTTTACATATTACCAAGATTAGCTGTATTATTTAATATCCCGCAAGATGTTCTGGCTGCTCATTTCAAAGTAACAGAATATTTTTCAAAGCAGAATAAACAAAAATATGAAATAAAATTGCCCTGCATATTTAAGTATTATTTCTTGAAACTGGAAATTTAATCTTTAAAATGTTTTACAAACTCTTTCACGATGGAAATAGCAGGGTGGTGGTCACAATCTTACACTTTTTCTTATATATGGGAATAATGCCAGAGGATTAAATGGTTTCAAAGGGTACATACCTATTTATAAAAGGTAGAGTGATGCATCTAGCATTGAATTTTTGTGAAATTGACAGGGTCTCCAAGATTGTGACAGAGCCCTAGTCCTGGAGTTCCACCTCTGAATCTGGCACCCACTGTTTTCACTGGGGAGAGGGGGAACAGGAATGGGCTTCAATTTCCACATCATTGGTACACAGAGGCAGCTGCAAAAGTAGAAACACAGGCGCCTTCACTCCTGCACTATATTTCTGACTCAGGTTTCTGGAATGCAACATGTGGATATTTTTCAGAAGATCACAATGTACCTCAGTTTGTTGGAGAGGTAGGGTATATTTTTGGAGAGATAAGGAACTCATTTGGATACATCTAGGGACCTCTTTCAGAAAAGCCAGGTTCTCTTTGGGAGAGATAAGGTGCCTTTTGAGGGTAGTCAAGTGCCCTTTAAATTCATTAAAAGTAGACAAGAATGTGCATAAGAGTGGATAAACACGGTGGTTAGAAATATTAAGAAAACAATTGAGAAAGAAGTATCACTAATTAGGTAGAACACACAAGATATTAAAACATTTAAAGATAAAGATTCATATAGAGTTAACTATGAAAAACTCCATCACAGCTAGCAGAAACAGGAATAACTAAAAAAAGGACATGGAGACAACAAATATAAATGCTACTAATTAAATTAGAGCTTAGCACAGACAACAATAAAATGTAAACAATAGTTTAATCACTGAAAGGAAGGCCTGGAAAGATACATGGCAACGTCACAACTGGGTGTGAAACTAAAAAGTTAATTGCAGAAGAAATATTGGAACCATCCAATTGATAAAAATTGCAAACATGCTTATCACATGAATGCTATTAGAAATCAGGATAAAACAAAGCTCATGAAGACAAAGAAATGAAACACTTTTACTGGTAAACTGTTAATAAAGATTTATGATTGGAATAACAAGGAGCACTGAAAGTATGAACCATCACAAATAAATTGACTAGATAAAGCTCCCAGCTTTATGAAAGAATCTTCACCAAATAATTAAGGAATGATACAGCATCGCATGGAAGTAGGCAGAACCTATACAGCAGGTTGATACTCACATTTGTAAGACGGGAGGAATCAAATTAAATTAAAAATGACCCTTTCACTGAAATTTCAGTAGTGTTAAAAACTTCGAATAGTACTTTTCAAAAGGTATTTTCTCATACAAGGACTTTAAGGTAAAATGTTGCTTCAAATTTTGATAGATATCCTGTTCTTAGATACTGTTAGATAGCCTATTTGATATTGTTACATATTATATTCTTAGCTATTCTTAGATGTTCCTAAAGGTTCTTAGATGTTTTTGAGTCTTTATGAAATAGATCAAACTGGATTCTATTAAATTTGTTGTTATATCTTTTCATGGTTTTAGCATAAACCTAATGTGTTCCTATCCGTTTAAAGCAGACTAAACTGATTAATTTCTGATAATGAAATTGTGAAACTAGTAAATTATCTCATTTACATTTTGCTGTTACAATTGAAATTAACCCTAATAACTTATACACTTCCTTAAGTGGGGAAGTGTATATTTTCTGAAAAGAAAAATCATAGACCTTTAAAGTATCTGGAAATTTTATAATAGAGTTAGGGCTTATTAAAATTAAGTAGGCTATTTGGAAGGCAGTGACAATTTGAGCACTTTCTTCTCCTATGGGATGGTGACTTAAATCTTATGAACTCAAACTTTAAATGTTTGTGAAATTAGCTAACTTCGTAGTTAATTCCAAATGAATCTTTATCTTTAAATGTCTTAATGTCTTGTGTGTTATTGTGAAATTAGCAAACATTAACTCAGCTGACACAAGTTTTTAGGGAAGTTGGGCAGTTGGGCATACGTTAGTCAGGAAGGTCTGAGGGCTACATAATAAATTTGTTGAAAAACTGGATTTATTAATACAAGATTGGCCATATGACAGAAAATAAAAGTAAGTAGTTTTCAGACTGGAGGGATCCAATAGGTGTGCATAGGGATACATAGGTATCCCCCCGGAGGCTGGTGTTAAGACTGTTGCATGTTCTGATATGTCTCCAAGGTGAAGAACTGTTGAGAGAAAAAGAATGAACATTACTTGGACCATAGGATCTGGGAAGGTGGGGACAGGGATTGGAAGGTGGTAAGAGGAAAGATATGCTGGCAATTGTGGTGTGCATTTTCAAAGAAAAACAAAGAAACAAAGGTAGGACTCCCAATAACATACACCTCCGCACTCTTATTGTCACCAAAAATCATCACTGCTGGCCCATAACCTCTGAACCCCCAGGTCCTCTTGTGCAATTTACTTTATTTCATATGAAGTGGCCACCTTCCACCTCCTTTTCCTCACATTATCCTGCATTGTGCACCCCTCTCAGCCATGTACCACATTGTGCTCCCCCTTCTGTTTAGATCTTGTAATTTTCTTTCCCTATCTTTATGCTTTCCTCTCTTTGTCTTCCTCCACATCAGAACCTTGTGCAGAAATGGCAGCAATTTTGCAAGGCTTAGTATTGCAGCAGCTGATGTCACCAGACGAGAGGAGTCCTGCACATCATTAGCCAACTCCAAAACTGGAAATTAATCTCCAGTGGCATTTTCATTTTGTTATCTACTAATGAGCTGGACTTGTGTATAGATGGCATAATTTGGAAGTTTGAAATTTGAGAAAAGTATGAAAACATACATTTTGCAAAAAAGAATGAAAGTAAAACAAAGTGAACTAAATATTACAATTTTAAATGCCATACAAGAACTGGGAGACCTGGATGTTCACATAAACAAGACTTTGAATGTGGCAGGGCAAGTTGAGGATGTTAAAAATGTGCAGAACCTTTGGCTTTTTGAATATTGGCATAGACAGTGATGATCATAGCATATTGGGGTGAGGATGGGTAAATGATCCCAGAAACTTATAATTATGGAGTCAAACACCAGGAGCATGGGAGGATCTGGGCATGGAGATGCCCACTTGTGGAAATGGAAGCAGGAAAGTTTGGTTGGATTTGGCCAGAAAGAGTCATGCCTGCCCAGGCTCAGAAATAATCCTGGAAAGGCACTTAACTGTTCCACCCAAATCTTCTTTTGCCTCCTTTCAGCTGTTAAACTTTATGAGGCTGGGAAACCTGATGGGCCAGGATAATTTTGAAACTCAAATAAAATTGGACTCTTCAAAATGTTCTAATAACATACAGAAAGCAGTTTTGTTGTGCACCACCCAAATTGCCTCAGTTGATAGTGCTTTGGATTGGGGTCTTGTTTCCAATTTTATCATTTTTATCCCTGGCTGGTCTTCCCTTCACTATGTTGTCCTTCGTGAATTCAATTCACCCATGAAGTACAAGAGCAAGGAAGTTGCACTAAATGTTTATTAATTATTCATTAGACCTCAACTGACATACTTTGTTTAATTTTGGGCATCACACCTGAGGAAGGATATCTAAACCTTGGGGAGGGTGCAGCAAACATTTACCAAAATGGTACCAGATATGAGCGACTTCAGTTATGTGCCAAAGTCAAGAAGCTTGACATGTTCTCCTTACAGCAGAGAAAGTTAAACTGAGTTTAATAGACGTCTTCAAAATCATGAGGAATTTTCATAGAATAAGGAAAATCTGTTCCCACGCAGAAGTGGGCTGGTGACCAGAGGTCACAGATTTAAGATATTTAATATAACAATCAAGGGAATGAGATTTGTTTTGAAGTATCTCATAGTTGTCATCTGGAATGGACTGTATGTAAGGGAAAAGTTACTTGAAGGGGAAAAATTTGCAAGACTGTGGTAAGTGATGATGGGAGTAGGACCAACTGAACAGTTCCATTAAAGAACTAACTGAACCATGCTGTATCATTTCATGTTGATGCTGTTTTACAGATTTTTACATTAAGATTTAATTCCCCTCTATGAGCTGGTCAGAAGGCGGGGTATGTGCTAGGATATAATAGGGCAGAAGGTTCAGAAGCATCTGTCACTTTCCAGATTCACACCAGGAATATCTTTTGCTGTGAAGGGTCCAGGACAGCCTTTAAGGCTGGAGGTCAATTGAAACCCTTTAGGTGACCACTTTAAAGGCCAGTTAAGGACATCAGCTAACCCCCACTGGTACTAAATCAACAGTCTGGGGGGTTTGGGGTGGCAGTTGGGGGCGAGAATGCCATGTCGACAGGCTGCCAAGTAAACCCTGATGGACATACCAACAGTTTTGAGGAGGTTGAGAGTCATTCTCCTTCTGAGGTACTCAGTGCACACTGAAGGGACCCACCAGCAGCAAGGACCAATGGGAAAACCTTCCTCTGCACTTCACACTAACATCATCTCTCCCCTCCCTGGGCCTGTCTAAATGGGTCCAGTGAGCCTACCCTACAATCCTGTGTTTCTAAGACTCCAGTGATGATTTTGTCACGAGTCCTATTTTAGTACCAGCAGAGACCATCTCAGCCAGGGAGTGTTGCTAATACTGAAGTGTTGCTGGTGTTTGATTGGAAACAGCCTGCTTATGCATGCTGTTTTTATTGATGGGTGGATTGAATTAGAAAAAGATGTTACACTCAATGTCAGACTCTGTGATCTGGGGTCTATTGTAGAATACCTAGTTACGCAACCAAATTCGCAGAGAGGATATAAAAATATATATTTAAAATACATTACCTCAGAGTTACGACAGGATCTTGATCAGATGGAACAATGGGCCAAGGATTGGCAGATGGAGTTTAATTTAGATAAATGTGAGGTGCTGCATTTTGGAAATGTAAATCAGGGTAGGATTTATACACTTAATGGTGTGGTCCTGGGAAGTGTTGCTGAACAAAGAGACCTCAGAGTGCAGGTTCATAGTTCCTTGAAAGTGGAGTCACAGATAGACAAGATAATGAAGAAGGCATTCGGTATGCTTACCTTTATTGGTCAGTGCATTGAGTATAGGAGTTGGGAGGTCATATTGCGGCTGGACAGGACATTGGCTTAGCCACTTTTGGAGTACTGCGTGCAGTTCTTGTCTCCCACCTATAAGAAGGATGTTATGAAACTTGAAAGGGCTCAGAAAAGATTTACGGGGATGTTGGCAGGGTTGAAGGGTTTGAGCTATAGGGAGAGGCTGAATAGACTGGGGCTATTTTTCTTAGAGCATCAGAGGATGAGGGGTGGCCTTATAGAGGTTTATAAAATCATGAGGAGCATGGATAGGGTGAATAGACAAGGTCTTTTCCCTGGGGTGAGAGAGTCCAAAACTGGAGGGTGTAAGTTTAAGGTGAAAAGGGAAAGATTTAAAAGGGACCTAAGGGACAACATTCATGCAGAGGGTGGTGCATGTGTGGAATGAGCTGCCGGAGGAAGTGGTGGAGGCTGGTACAATTACAACATTTAAAAGGCATCTGGATGGGTATATGAATAGGAAGGGTTTAGAGGGATATGGGTCAAATGCTGGCAAATGGGACTAGATTTATTTAGGATATCTGGTCAGCATGGACGAATTGGACTGAAGGGTCTGTTTCCATACTGTACTTCTCTATGACTCTACAGCTTTAAGATGTGAACTGGAAATGCAGAGTCAGACACGTGAAAGATATGAGAGTGATTAAACTCTGCCACATAGCCTTCTAGCTGTATTTATAATGGTGTTAATATTTCCATTTATTGATCCTAACAGATCTAAAAAATCAGCTTATGATTCAGCAGCTTAATTTCCAAAAGGTTACAGAAGAAATGGAACACTGCAAGGAATTGTTACTGTGAGTAAGCAACTTGCATCTTAAATAAGATAGCCATGCATTTATTAAAAAGTTTATGGAAAATATTATCTTCTAATCAACTAACAATAATTTGGAATTTGTATACCTCCCTCAAGCAGGCATAGACATTCTATGTTTCAGCAAACAAAAAAGTTTGAGAAAAGGAATGGTTTAGATTTGTTCTTTACAATTAATAGAGCCAAACATATTGGGCTGAATCTTATGATATTTTGTCATGTGGAGTTTAGTGGAGTGATTCTCATCATGAGACTGAGAATTTTTTCTCACCATAAGCATTAATTAGCATTTCAGCCCTTCAGCCATTAAGCTCATCTGATTTCTGTAACATTTTACAGTGTGCTGTTTTTGGAGCAATTCACAACTCACTGGAGATCCCATATTTAAAAGGCCAAAGTGCACTCAGACAAACACTGGCAGTTTGAAATTCCTTTTCCTCCAAAATCACCAGTGGAGTCCACGACCCCAGACTATGCTAGCCTGGTCCAAGATTGCTACTGGGGTTACAGCAGTCTCAACCATCAGGAAGAATTGCCAACATTGTAGAAAGATAATGAATGCCCTTCCCTACTCCATCAGCGTAAATGGCACCATCTTCTCTATGATACCTTACATTCACTTTGTCTCTGCCTTTAGACTCATGACCCACGAAGGCCCATGCTGTATCACTCTCACTAAAATATGCAACATCTTCCCCATTCACTGTCATTCACCCCAACTTGTAACACCACTTTTATCTGCCCTTCGCGCAGCCTACTCACTCACTAAGGAAGCCTCACCTGCATCAATCATTTTCATCTTCCATAATTCTTGCCTTTTCATCATTCCAGATGCAAAACTTTCTATAATAGGGCAGAAAGAGTCAACAGGTATGCTGTCAGTCACTTGGCTCCTCACCCTTATGACGAGAAGATCCTGACTCTGAGCATCCCGATCTAGTCTGGTATTAGAGGTTACACTTAACCTACTGTGCTGGGATCTCCAGAGCAAAGGCTATCCCAGTTAACTGGACTGAGAGCTGCTGACAAACATGGCAAACCTCCTGGCTGTCCTCCTAAAAAAAAATGTTCAACTAACCGCACAATTGAGCAACATCGAGCATGAACTTCAGTGCTGGTGCAATACCATATGTGCAGACTGGACATCATATGGAATGGTTAATCAATTGAAGCAGCATGTTTCTTTGGATATACATTACAGGTAGAGGATAGACTAGACTCAATCAGCCCAAGCATACCAAACCCCAAAATAATATCTATTGTTAAATGTGATGCTGTGATTGGGCAGAACTTGGTGAACAATCCTGTGTGCACTAATAGCTAGACTAACAATAAACACAAGATAATCAGTTTAGCTCTTAATGTGGCTCATTTATCACTATTACAAGCAAAATATATTGAAACACAGGAACCTGTTCACTGCAAACAAAAGAGACATGCTCATGTCTTAAGCCTTTCTTGAACTAGTAGTTTTCGGAGCTAATAGCTCTTTCCCCATTGCTTCCTCCTTGACTGATCAGAGTTCACTTGCCAACAAATCAGCACCCTTGTTGTATAAATACACCTCCTGTAGCATAAATGGTTCTGATCGTTTGAAATTTGGCATCCTTGTGTTTGTCCTGATGAGTGCCAAAGGAAATGCTTCAATGACATTGTAGTGATTGTATCAAAGTCAGCCAGGTAGACCTCATAGATTATGAGTTCCTTGACTGGAGCTTTTAATCTGGTCCAATCAGGGAGTTCTGGCTGACAGATAAGAACAGGAGTATCTGAGAACTGGCTCTGAAAGAGCTGGATCAGTGTCAAGGACTCTCCATGTGTAAATAAAGGGTGATTTGATGATGGGTTACCAGCTTCTGTGGAGTTATTTCAGACATGTCTCCCTCCAGATCCTCACCTTGTCTAGAGATTGTGCCATGGGATCTTGTATGTTCAGCTTAACAGGCAGATGGAAACCGGGTTAAAACAAAGAAATGTGGATGCTAAAGATCTGAAACAAAAACAGAAATTGCTGGAGAAACATAACAGGAATGGCAGCTCCAACTCTAGAGGGAAAGTAGAGTTAACATTTTGAGTCCAGTTCCCTTCTTCAGAAGATGTTTCTCTAGCAATTTCGGTATTTGTTTCAGATGAAAACTAGGTTTGGGGAGTCAGCTGACAGACTGCGCCACTGATAATGGAACACCACGTTGGTTCTGCACTGAATCGTAAGTTCAGAATGTGTTCTTAATTCCAGGAATGGAACAGGACCATATTACCTTCTGATTCATAACCAGGTTTTCACGTTCCATTGAGTAATGTGGCACAAGCTCAACCATCATTCTGCCTTTAATTTTATTACGTGGCACTATAAATGTAAGAGGAATCAATAGCATGAGAACACAAGCTTCTAATTATGTATCACTTTTCATAAACAAAACAAAAAAAATGGGGAAGTTCTGCTTCTTGTGGTATAAGTTTCTAGAAAATCATTACAGATCATTTTGTTGAGTAGTTCTGTTTGTTCCATCACATTCAGTGGTTACAACAGCTGGAAGAATCCAACAAATATTATGCCCCCATGTGATTGAAGCAGCATTGACTTTTGGAACAATCAGTAAAGTTGAACTTGATTTTTCTTGCGCTTGTTTAATGTTCAGTCTAAATTTTGCTCGGAGTGCAAAGGTGATTTATTTCAGTATGTGGTTCCTTCATATTTTTATGCATGGCTGTACACACCGGGTTACTTAAAGGGACCAACTTTCGCACGGCTTGCATAAGGACTTTTGGATTGCCACATATTCACTTCTTATGACACGGAGGCAGACGGGCGAATCAAGTCAGCCTGTGTATTCACAATTCAGTAAAATTAAAATATACAATGATCCTCAAAATTGACCCAAATGGTTCCTGACCAGACTTTTTGAATTACCAGTACCAGATTTTCTGAATAACGATACCACATACCAGGTTTTTAGTGTAAACTAAAGATTAAAATAATCATTAATAATGCACTGGATTTAGCAAAACAAAGTTAAACCACATGGTAATCTAATTAATCTCTACGATTTAAATCCAATCTTCCTTGAATCTAGCCCTGCCTCAACTCTGTCACAAAGACAGTTAGAAAAACAGACACAGTTAAGGGATAAATAAAAAGAGAAAAATAAATGAGATGTAACTGGCCAGTTAATTTAAGCTGTCTCCACAATCTGTAGTATCTCTGGCATATGGTTTTATACTTTGCTTGGTTTCTGATAACTCCGATGCATACAAATATCTTCCAGTAGGCTCCAACAAATATTCATTTATTTCTTAAAACTGAGATTCTAATCTTCAAACTTTCAATACGTTGATAATGAGGGGACAACAGGGAGCCATCAAACCTCTATCCTGTCGCTTTTGTAAAAACAATACTTCTGACTTAAATACAGTTCAAAAACCAGTTCAAACTCTGGCCTTTCTTTGTTAGACTGGTTGTCTCCCTGTGATGTCCTGTTGGTGTTCAAACATCTATCATCTGTTTTAGAATGAAACCTCTCTGCAGTCGAAGCATATATGGGGCACTTTTTTAAAAATAAAGAATCAATTCGCTATCAACTTTTAGGCATGGCCTCAAAAGCAAACAACAGCTTGTTTGTTCTCATTTTTAATACAAGCTACTGCCCACAATCCGAAGGTCACCTTTCAGCTCTCACAGTTTACAGCTCCAAACAAAAAATGATGAAAAGACTAAAATAATGAAAAAACAGCAAGATTTCAAACATATCCATCTGGGTATCACACAGAGAACACATTTTTTTTCTCTAACCTTTTACTTTTTACTGTTCTTGACTCACTCATATCAGATATTGCATAATGTATTCCAGAGAGATTGACCACCTAGTGACATTGTTGCACATTCACGTTATTTCACAGGAATAGACTGCAATAATACCATAATATTCATGCTAACCACCATAATTTAAACCATTAGATTGAATGATAATGGATTCTCATTGCTTTTAATAATATTTGGACAAATCTAGTGTAGTAGTCTCCTGCTCATTCTACGGATTAATAAAGTGGACAATTGAGAAGCCACTAGTTGATGCTTTAAGAAGCTTGTTTTATTAGATAGCCATAAAGATTGCTAATCCTGTATCATGTTAACACAGCATATAACATATTTTGTTCCTTGTGCAACTGGCATCAATTGCATTGGACTGAATCTTATGTTTTTTTGGCTAAGTGTCAAGTTCATCGAGTGCCATGTAGAATTCTTCTCAGTGAGGCCTAGTGAGATCTTGCGCTATGTCTTACCAAATTTGCCTAATTATCTACCTATCATGCACCTATGGTGCCTCCTCACTTGATTCTAGCCCCATTCTCCCACTTGCTGCACTCGAAACAACTTGTCACTGCTGGGATATCTTACAATGGATGGGCTCCCATGCCCTCTTTAGAAAGCCAAAATGCACTGTCCTGTGCAGTTCCTGATATTTGCCCGGGCATGGCAGACAAGGGAAATCTGGCGCCTCACTTTGTGAACAGAGACCTGGTAGTCCTCCAGGATTGGCAGTGAAGCCCACAACACTAGATCATGGTCTGAAGTTGCTACACAGGTCAGTGCAGCCTCGGCCATCTGGAGGAATGCATCGCAGTATAGGAAGAAAGTCAATGGCCTTCTCTGTTTTGACAACGTAAGTGCCAACCCCTTCTGTTCGATACCTTACACTCACTCTATCTCTGTCAACGCTCATGCTCTATCACTCTCACTATTGCCTGCAACATCTTCCTTCACTTGCTGTCACCACCCCAACTCCCAACAGCACTAACCTTGCATGCCCTTCACACTGCCCGCTCACTCGTTTGGGACACCTCCCTACCGCACCAAAACTGTGCTGCCCACTTTTATGTCCCTTAATGCTTGCCTCACTCATTCCACGGGTAAAACACCCCACAACAGGGCAGACACCTGGCTACATTGGCAGAGGCGACGTTGGCATGGTAGGCCCAGCAGCA